TGGTTGGTTGAAATGATTGGGAACATGGCGTAATCATGTAGGGGGAGGATGATGGGCGAAAAGGAAGGGGGTCCGTGTTGCTGGTTTTTGCCGTGGATACGCGAACTAGTGGGTACACTGCGTTTTCGAGCTAAATTATGCTGTAATGAGATTACTTGAGCTCGCTGCGCATCAGCTGTCATATTCTCTGAAAATTTCAGCTTCCTAAGTCAACTGGCTCTCGCAATCGCTTTTCTTCGAAAAATAATTTGACATGTCCGTACGCGTGATACAGGTGTACACGAATGTTCGTCTCACATTTACAGACTCGCGCATATGCAGCAAACATTCCCACAACATCACAGAAACTTATTGAGCCTAGTTCTCCAGTTGGCTCTTCGCCAACTATTACGAAATCGCATTTTTGTTGTGCGCGTTCAAGCGGTGTGCGCATGCGTTCAAGCTGAATTTGAAATCTTTAGCTCGCACGAGGACAAAGAACATCCGTCTCAAGTTTTAAGCTCGCGTCTTATCTGTTCCCGAAATGCTTCTCCCACCAAAGGATTCACATTAATTTGTTTAACAGCCGTACATGAGATCCGGACGTACGTGAACGGTGATTTCAAACATTGAGCATAATACATGGGGTGGGAATATGCTCGAAGAATTTTAACTTCCAAGCTTCACTGATTGCCGAGTTGAAAGTTTAGGTCTCGCAGATCGTAACTGCGTGCGGGAGGGACGGGGAAGGGGTTTCTTGCGTCGAGATAAGTATGTAACCTTGAAGAGCAGTTCTCGTACGAAGATCGGGTGGGGAAAATATTCAAAATCGCCCTCTCTAGCCAGTATTTCGATATGCACGCCCCTCCCCCCTCAGATCTAGAAAACGAGCTTCGAAACGCATGTCGATTAATGCGGTGGTTGCATGCATTCACACGTTTTCTCAATCAAAACAATTTAATTATACATCAACAGTGGTAAAACAACATAGAAACATTATTCATTAAAAATTAAATTTTAGACCAAAATTGAGAAAATGAAAAAGCATTATTCATTAAAAATTAAATTTCAAATTAAAACTGATGAAACGGACAAACATCATTCATTAAAAGTTAAATGTTAAATTAAAATTGAAATAAAAGTAGAGAAATATCACTCAATAAAGATTAAATCTTAAATTAAAATTAAACAAATAGAGAGATATTACTCATTAAAGATTAAAATTTAAGTTAGAATCGAAAAAACGGAAAAACAATTCTCATTAAAAATTAAATTTTAGATTAAAATTGGAAAAAATGGAAAATAATGTTATGGAAAAGAGAGTTGAAGCGATTGTGAAATTAGAAAAGTTTTCAAACACAGAAAGAAATGTTACGGTCCACGAAGTCACATAATTATTTCTTGCGAATGCCATAACTGGATCCGCACATTAAAGAAAACTCCGAGAACAGGTAGCACGCAATAAAAG